TGCAAATAATGCCATCTTTCTCTTAAAATAAAAAATAAAAAAACTAATAAATGAATTGAGTGTGTCTTTTCGGGGCTAATACGAATATAATTGATAAAAAATAAAACTATTGAATTTAATGTGGCTGAAGGGAGATAATAGCCACATTGTGCTTTTGAATATTACATAGCATAGTATGCACAACTGATGCATCATAGTGTGTAGGATTGACATACATTTGTTGTTATGTAAACAGATAAAAGCTAGACGGTACAATTTTTTATTTTAATTTTATTAATTTAAATTTATTTTAAAATCCTCGTAAAACTGTCAAGTGAATATACCGTGTGTTAAATTCGTGATTTGTAATGAACTTTTCTAGTTTAATGTATTTTGGAGTAGCCTATAATGCTCCAAACACTCTGAAGCCTTAAGTATACTTAATCGGACGTTGACATCCACACCACACGGTTAATTGAGGAAGCCGTTTTGAAACTGCACTGCACAGTAGTGCTGTTATTTATATTTAACTTTTGTAAAGATGGTTTATTTTGAAGTCGAATCCCTCCCGAAAAATAAAATGAATACACAATTTTATCATCATTAATGCGTTTATTCATTATTTTTAATGAGACACATTTAATGTCGATGCATCTCAAATGTGGTGAAAAAATCACTTGCGATTGATGGATTTAAAAAAAATTTTTTATAAATGCAAACATATTTTCGTAATTTATAACAATTCACAAGACGTGAAGAACTTGAAAGTTGTAACAAAATTTCGATCTGTTTAACAAAAAATATTGATAAAAACGATCATTTTTCAATCAGTTCTTTGGAGATTTTTGTCTTTGTTCAAAAAAAAGTTCTACGTAAAAAGAAATATAATTTACCAATCGAACTTTTTTCCCAACGTTTTGATTGTGCTTGAAAAAGTCATGCTGTTTGATCATATCTTAAATTAAACGTTCATTATAGTTTAATTAGCGGACTCGTACAATTATATATATACATACACATGTAGTTACTTTTCTTATCAACATTAAAATGTTTAATTGTATTAAACATCGACAGTTTTTATTTAATTTCGAGTGAAAGCGTAAAACATCATAAAATACAAGTAGTCACTGAAAGTATAGTCGTGGAAATTTACAGCAAAAAAAAAAAAAAAAAATGTTTCAGTTAATTAATCTTTAAGATATGTATGGTTATATGTTTATGTATACGTGTGATGTCTAAATTAAGAGCATCGAAGAGAGGAAAAGATAGAAAAAAAAGAACCTCACGGGATGGTGACGCATAATCGCATATGAATACCGCGTGTGATTGAGAAATTCTGTGGATGCCATATTTATGTAAGTACGAGCAAAAATAAAAACAAAAGAATACCTAGATAATAGGGACTTATAGAGACTGAGTCGACAATATTGTTCAAATAGAAATATATATATATATATGTATGGAAAGAATATGCACTCGGGTCGGCGCGACAGTGGCTCAGCCTATTGACAGCGAGCTGCACAGTTTTCTTTCAGTTTCAGTTCTTTGAGTACCTTATGGGTGTATTCCGCAAATGCTGCCAGCAGTTAAGTTTTACGTAGGTCGTGGTAACGCCGCATAGTCGGGCGGCGCTAGCGTCAACCTGTACTAACTGTCGGTGGGTTCCGCATGTCAACAAACTCCGAAATATCAGATGGCATGGGAGCGAAAACAGTAAAAAATATCAAAGTTTGTTGAGATGCGGAACCCACCGACAGTTAGTACAGGTTGAAGCTAGCGCCGCCCGACCATGCGGCGTTACCACGACCTATACGTAACTTAACTGCTGGCAGCATTTGCGGAATACACCCTATGTACATTTATATATAGTCAAGGAAGGACTAGTAGCTGGTACTCATACACTGTCACAGTAAATACATATATACGCTACACAATAGTGTAAATTTCGGAGTTTCCGAGCAGGCGCGTCTGCTGCTGCAACCTGCAGCATAACAAAACTGCAGTTCTGTCAAAAAGGCGGGCGACGAGCGCGTGTGCGGACATCTAGTGCAAGCTACTTATGCCTCGGTGCCGTTCCAATAGTGATTTACTTACTAAACGTGTAGTGTGTAAGTATCTATAATAAAAGTGCGGCCGCTACTCTGCTGTGGTCTAACGTAAAAAACGCTACATTGAACAATGTGACAACTGACAATCCGAAACAACAAGTGTTCTGCTTCCGAAGTATATGATTTTTCTCGAAGCAACAATGCAACGTATTACATCAAACGATGTTTACTCGTTTTCTTTCGATGTTCATTATTGTTATCATTCTCTGTTGGACGCATGACAATCGTCGACCGTAGAGCTTTTCCCTAACTATATAGTGTATTTACAAGTGTTGAGTAGCAATAACAAAAACATGTGTCGTGTCGTTTTATAATTAAAGCTGCTGCTCTGCGCCTTCCAAGAGGAAAAAAGTGTAAGGTACTGCTTGTACACCCTACCGCAAGACGACACGGCAAATACCCGGTCGACGACGACGGCGCTTGACTTGGAGTACGTTGCGGCCGTCGATCTCGGCTCCCTGATCTACTGCACCTCGAAGTGGGTCATCGTCTTGGGTGCCGTCGTCCTCGCGAGGAGGATGTCGGCCAACCTTGTCTCCCACAACGTCGATCCATTCAGCGAAACTCCGCTTGATCACGACAACGACGATGACGACGATACTCGGATGCAGACAGGTGAGTGCATTTAAAAAAAAATAAAATTATGCTATCTGATGAATCGCTGTTATTCGTCTACTTGTTTCTACTTGTCGCTTCGGTACTTTGAGTACAATTGAATTACTTTCATCACTGTCGACGGGATTTTTTGGGTTTTTTGTCATTGGCATAATTTTATTGAATGATAAAGCAGTGTGTGTTACATGCTTTTGTAAGACACTACGCGAGCAAAACTGATTTGTGTATGAATCATTCACATAATTTGCAAATAATGCCATCTTTCTCTTGTACCTTGACTGAGAGTAAAATTGAAAAAACCTATGTATATGCCTGTGACTGATAAAAAAATATTTCCATTATGCTTCAACTTCATGAAATAGCTAGGTAGCTGGTTTGCTCGCTTCATTATGTTAATTTTTTTACCCATGTTATTATGTGACATCAGTATATTGTGTACTCACAGCGTTTTCATATTTATTCATTTGAATTCGTAAAATACTATTGTTTCAGAGTAATCGATATTGAAAATTCATATCTTACCATTTGTTTTACTTAAGATTATTCTTATGATTTTTTGAGAAAATTGGTGCACTTATTATTTATTATCATTTTAATTTATTTAATGCTTTATAATTTGTCATTCATTGATTCAATGACCCATGGGCTAAAACATATAACATTAAAATGACCAATGACAAAAATTTCCATCATTTGCATTCCTACGATTCTATTTATAAAGTTTCAATGAATCTGATTTTTACTGTTTTTTAAGAACTGACAAGCTCATTCTTCATTTTTATTTCACTATAGAATGCAGTACACAAGAGAATGGAATTGATAGTCAAGAGGAAAATAAAGAGATAGAGTTTCCTAAGCAGTTGCCATTTGCAGAGCCACTGTTACCAAAAGAAATTCGATGGATGTACAAGGAAGATGTAAATAAGAGATGGGTGGAATTTTGCGGATATGACAGTTTAAGGATAGAAAATGCTTGGAGACAAAGACAATGTGCCGCAAACGAAAATGGAAATGGTAGTGATTCCGGAAGGATTGAAAGAGTTATTGTTAGAGGCGGCATGTACGATGCTGACCTGGAAAACATGAAGTGTATATCTATATACTGGCCAGGTAAATGAATTATTTTAGCTATTACCCATTTTTAAAAATTTGTTCAAGATAAATTTAAGTTTCTCAGAAACTTGTAAAAGTAATATTAACTCACGTTATTTATCATACAAGAACTCGTAGAGTATTAGTATTTATTTACAGTGTCACTACATACACGTATTTATTTTTAGTTTCACGTAATCTAATCAATCTATGACACAAAACATTAACTGATACTGTTTATAATTTTGGAAAAATATTTTTCTGTTGTATTTAATGTGATATGCATTTTTAAAATATTTATTACGTTGGAAATCAACATCAAATTTACTAGGTATAATTTTTTCAAGAGCGAATCATCACATGAGAAAAGTGGCATGTTATTGTCAAGAACAAAAAAAAAAAGAAAAAAAAAAAATTGTTTCTAGATTATTGGAAGTAAACAGAAGCTTACGTAAAGGCGATTCTTTTCTTTTTTAAATTTACAAGCTCGTTACTCCTCCGAGGAATAGATCTTATTTTTGTCCAGTTAAACTGCGCTTGATCTCAAGATAGGTATATGTTGTGTGTACTACGGTCACGTGATTCATTGTATTGCTTCTGTACTATCTCTTTTAAGCAGAGATTGATTTGTCCTTGAGTTTATTACACCTAATTTCCTTTTACAACATTCGACTTTAAATGCTAACAGTAGAGAATAGATGTTTCGCCAGAAATTGACGTTTGTGTTCTCTATAAATTTTTGTTTCACGATTAGATAGTCGCACGTTCTTCGCTTACATGTACACGTTCTCAGAAATTTTTTTTTTTTCTTTTTTTTTTTTTTTTTAAGCCTTATCTATCGAGGATGCGATTACGGGGCTTGGCGTGTCGCTCACGCTTTTATATAGAGTCTTACATGCTCAGTACAAATAATACATATTTATAATGGCTAGATTAACTGAACGATCGACTTATACTTCAATGAGAGTTGATTAAAAATAGTAATATCGGCGTAACACAACACAACAACGTTTTTGAATGATATAAATTTTTCAAGTAATTTTCTTAATATTTCCAACCCTTTGTAATGATGTTATAAATTTATTTAATTAAAATATAAAATCAAGTGACAGTCAAAGCAATGAATACCCTTAAAATCTCGAATAATGTACACTTTCACTGTATGAAACGTTATATATATACCTACTCGCAATTGTTTGCGAAGGCCGTTCAATGAACGTATTAAGGTTTCATTGCGTTCACTTGCACAGCTTAATAAATCCTCGCCATCACTTGAATGAATATAATAACCACACGTATGCATTGACACAAAATTTTTTTAATAGTTTAACGACCACAAAGTAACGATTAAAAATTGAAATAAGACATTTAAAATACTTTCTTCATCAATTGAAATAATTTATGTTAGGTGAAGAATCGGAAATAATGAGAGGCACATGGTTTTATGACGGAACGTGGATACCACTGGAAAGCGATAACTCGGAAGTTATCGAAAATTCTCACCTAAAATTGTTTCAGAGGCAAACTTTAACACAGTCAAGTTCAACGCCGGAATTTGGCACTCCTTCACATTCGTGCAAAGGTAAAATTTGTCATATGGATGTTCATAAATATTTATAAAATTTCTTGTTAACATAATATATTTTTTTGTCGATTTCAGCCCTCCATACCGAACACTTTCCGCAGTATCACATCAAGTGGCACGCGATAAATGATGTCGATTTATATTATGAATATACGCCTAGCAAATTAATGCGAAGCGTTTCATCGAAACTTGGCTTTACTAAAAGTTGGTAATTTGAATACATTTCTTTTAAATTGACGGCTACATTGGTAACTGGTCTATTTTACTTTTTATTGTAGCAACTGGTTATAGAATCGTAAGAGGATACAAAGAACATGCCACAATGGAAGATAAACCGCAAGATATTGACCACTTAGTGTTTGTAGTTCATGGGATTGGCCAAAAAAGAGATACAGGGAAAATAATTCGAAACACAACGATGTGAGCATTTTTATATCATTAAGATTTTTGATAGACAATTTGTTATCAGAGTGTCTATATATTTTCCGTCTGGTCATCACTAGACGTAAAATTTGATGTTACAGCTTTTTATATGTTAAAATTATCCATGAGCTTAATTTTACAATCTTTTTTTTTTTTCCTATAAAAATTATTTAAAGTATCCAATTTCTGTAGGATTGATAATATACAAGCCGAGTGTATGCGATAGTTTTATATACTATTTCTAAGTAAACAAATTTACTCGTTTGTTATGGTTGTATTGACTGCTTATCTCCAAAAAAATTATCGATTGATTTTCATCTGATGCAGGTTCAGAGACTGCGTTGAAAGAATGAAACTGAAATATTTTCCAAATTCTACACATAGAGTCGAATTCTTTCCAGTGGAATGGAGATCTTCCCTGAAACTGGATGGAGGTAAATTACAAAACTGAATACATCCAATTAAATCAGCATAAATATTATTAACTAATGAAATTATTCCTTATTTTAGATATTGTAGATGCCATTACTCCATTTAGTGTATTAAGTATTCGGCATCTTCTTAATACTTCCGCTATGGATATCCTGTATTACACTAGTCCTCTATATGGAGGAGAAGTACGCTCTGGTCTCCAAAAAGAATTGAATAGATTATACAATACTTTCGCTGAACGACATCCAGAGTGGCAGGGAAAGGTTTCGATCTTAGCACATTCTCTTGGATGTGTTATTGTTTACGATATTGTTACTAGGTGGATGGGCTTCGAAACATATCCTCCAGCTTCATCTCCATGTTTATCAGAAGGCTTGAGGTTTCCTGTGAGTCCAATAATTCTTTATAACGTTTTGATAAAGAGCAAAATTCAAGGGTGTACATCAATAATCATCCTGTTTATTTACAGATTGAAAATTTGTTTTGTCTGGGCTCACCACTGTCGGTATTTTTAGCTCTGCGTACTCGTACACCGTCCAACAGATTAGACTTAATGCCAGAATACTTGTGCAACAGATTTTATAATATATTCCACTGGTCAGATCCCGTTGCTTACCGAATGGAGCCCTTGTTGGAAAGAGGGTATAGCAAAATAGAGCCAGTTTGTATATTACCTCACGGTGGAGCTGATAGTCAACCAATTGAACAAACACAGCCCTTGTCATTGAATAATGGTGATCAGAGTAATCCGCAGTCCGGTAAATGTCAACCACGTTTAATATATATTCATCGCTTTTAACAGTATTTTTATGAAAACTCGATCGACAGATACTGACGAAAAGGATGCAGACAGCAGTCCGGTCGATACACCGAGCAGAACTGTAGATAAAGGTTGGAGTCTGTGGGGTTTAGTTAGAGCAGGATGGAATGCAAAAGAAGGGTCTTCTCCTACTCCTGAAAACCCCATAATACAACCTGATCAAGGTAGATCATTTTTGATCAAACTAGAAAATTTAAACATCAAACTATACCAGCAAACATCTGTATCAATCGATTTTCTTACAGAGTTACCACAACGTTTAGATTATGGATTGCAAGCAGTAGGTATAGGGCGTAACTATTTATATACTGTAACAGCTCACACTGCATATTGGACAAATTGCGATGTGGCGTACTTTGTACTAACAAAAATCTTCCCATGTTTGGAATCGTGATTCTGAACCGTGATTTTTAGTAAAGAATTATTTCGGATTATACTGGAAATAGCTAGTCTAATAAAGGCCTTATAGGCCTGAGCTTGGAAACAGGCCTGCCACCAAAAACAAATCTGTGATAAATGAAAAAACAATACAATAATAACAAAATCTACAATGTGCAAATTTTTTTATAATAGTTTGCATAATAAGAATTTTTCAGTCCTATTGATAAGAATTTTTTCAGTTATTTGTGACTTTTGTATTGAGGATTCTATTTTTTGGTGGAAAATTTTCATAAGTACGATTTTCTTTTATTAAATTAATTTGGCAGTTGCCTCGATCGAGCAATATCTTGCCTTGTTCAACTACTTTAATCTTTAATGTTTATTGTTACATGATATTGTAATTTTTATTTTATGATTGAAGTAAGTTAATTGGTGCTCATTTATTAAAAAAATGTTGTTATTTCTTAAAACAATTTTAAACAATGTTTGAAAATTTATTGTTACCATATCAAAAGACGGTTTAAAAATAGCACAACTCTAAATACTAATGAAATAACAGCAATGGTAGAGAACAGTAAACAATTGGTTAGCGACTGATATATTAATTGAATACCACTTTTATATTCTTGTAATATTGAGATCATTATTTGTAAACAAAACTGACAAGACTTTAATTACTATCATATCCATACATAATCATTTTTTCAAAAACTCTTTTAGAAATATAACGACTCAATGCTGCTTAAAAACCATATTTTTTAAATATTTACTGCTGTAAAAAAGAAGTTCAAAATTACTAGATCATCATTTTATAATAGTTATTACCATTTTGCATTAAATTAGATGGAGATCGTGCACAATCTATACGAAATGTATTGGTAGTAACTAGTGAATATTGGAAGAGATTCGATAAAAATAAATATCGACTAAGTATATCACGATTCTTTTTGTTCTCAAACTATTATTATAACAATCATTTGAAATGATCATGTATGTAAATAAAGTTGTTAAACACCAAATCATCACTTTTTTAAGAATACAAAAAAAAAATTATCATTAGTGAGTCAACGATGTATTATTAAAATTCCATAATGAAAATCGAAAAAATTGATAATCTGTAATGCCATAAACTTTTATAAGTATATGGTACATGCATACATTTAAGGAATTATGAAAACATAATACTGATTGTAGCAATTAAACCATATAGTTGGAATAGAAACAATAATCAAACATTTAATTGGCTCAAAACGTTACGAAATTATAAGCAAATAAATATTTAACAAAGTTTCAACGTCTGCATCAATCAAAAATCTCCCATCAATCCTTTGTCCAAATTTGTTGATCGACACTCTCTAAATGAAATATTTATCAGAAAATTACTAAAAATTTTACAATCATTGGAAAACAAGAATTGTATGTAACAAATGTGAGGACACGTTTTTTAAAGAAGAAAACATTCAATTTTGTCTTTGTTATTTTATATCATACATCTCCTCATTGTGATGAGTCACGATTTATTGTTTAAAATAAGTTAAGTTAAAAAAATGAGTTGACTTGTAGTGTATGGACAATGAGGTTTTAATTTCAAAGTCCAAGCGCGAGCGCCACTAGCGCCAGTGGCCAGCACATGCACACACACCCACACACACAGAGCTGCTGCAGAAGTGCCAAGGAGAGGGTACTTATATTCTCCGTTGGTTGTTCAGCGAGTCAAGTCGAGAGTTGCTTTCCTGCGCTTAATTTATAACGAATTTCCAGTTTGTTCATTATTACATTTATATAGTCAAAAAAATAGTTTCAAGGAGCATCACATTTCTGGTGAGTACTTATATGTGCTTTTTTTCTATTACCAAATGTTTAAATGCTGTGTAACAACTGGCGATGAGTAATGCTACGACGAGTCCATTCTCGTCCAGAACATTCCATTGCAACGCGAAACGCAACAATAAGATCCGAGAAAGTTGCAGCACTGACACACGATTGTTCGTCCATCCTTAATTTACAGCTTTTACGTAATTCGGAGCGCAAAATGTTAAAACTCGAGGTTTTACTGGTTTTACTGCGTACAGTGTTGTAAACTGGAGACAAAGGAGCGTCCATCTTGAAACTCGGGCTACACGAACTTGTATGAGGGAGTACGGAATTAACAAATTTATTTACGAAGCCAAATCGTTGGTACTTAAAAATAGCCCTGTCGACTTTAAAAGGTCAAAGTTTCACATGTTTTCTTACTCCTTCGTCCGTCGCCTGGTGTTCTCGTGGGATACAATTAGCTGTATATTATCGATCAGGGACGCCAGGGTAACCATCTTGAAATCATCTGTTAGTGACTATGGAAAAAAAAAAAAAAGACGAGCTTTTTAACATTTCGGCAACATCTTCAAAATTTTTGTTTCCCTTTACAATTTAACAAAGTTAAATCAAACCAAATTAAAATATTCACCATCTTTGAATGTAACCGAATCGTCTAAGAAATATTTCGTAGCGATAACGTATTGGATTCGCCCTTGGCAACAACTTGGATCGGTCGAAAATAATAACGTTGTGAGTGTTGTGTACGTGTAAATGTTGAACGGTAGCTTTACGTTTTGTGTCATTTTAATCAGTTTCATATCTTTATGTCGTTAAATTTAAACGTCGAAAGATCATTATCATCAACTACGACGACGACAAAGAAAAGGCTTTGACCAATTAATAGCAATATCGATATTAGTTTTACAAATTGATATCTGTCAATAACTGCGTTACTTATAAAGCTTAAATTTTGTTGTAGCTTCATCATGCAGATCTTCGTTAAAACTTTAACTGGCAAGACCATTACTTTAGAGGTCGAGGCATCTGATACCATTGAGAATGTCAAGGCCAAGATTCAAGACAAAGAAGGCATCCCCCCAGACCAGCAGCGTCTCATCTTTGCTGGCAAGCAGTTAGAAGACGGAAGGACACTTTCTGACTACAACATTCAGAAGGAATCCACCCTTCACTTGGTTCTTCGTCTTCGTGGAGGAATGCAAATTTTCGTCAAGACCTTGACTGGCAAGACCATCACATTGGAAGTCGAAGCTTCCGATACCATCGAAAATGTCAAGGCCAAGATTCAAGACAAAGAAGGCATTCCCCCAGACCAGCAGCGTCTCATCTTTGCTGGTAAACAGCTCGAGGATGGAAGGACTTTGTCAGATTACAACATACAAAAGGAGAGTACCCTTCATCTGGTTCTGCGTCTGCGTGGTGGCATGCAGATTTTTGTCAAGACCTTGACTGGCAAGACCATCACATTGGAAGTCGAAGCTTCCGATACCATCGAAAATGTCAAGGCCAAGATTCAAGACAAAGAAGGCATTCCCCCAGACCAGCAGCGTCTCATCTTTGCTGGTAAACAGCTCGAGGATGGGAGAACTTTGTCAGATTACAACATCCAGAAGGAGTCCACCCTTCATCTGGTTCTCCGTCTGCGTGGTGGTATGCAGATTTTTGTCAAGACCTTGACTGGAAAGACAATTACCTTAGAGGTTGAAGCATCAGATACAATTGAAAACGTAAAAGCAAAAATTCAAGACAAAGAGGGCATTCCTCCAGACCAGCAACGTCTCATTTTCGCAGGAAAGCAACTGGAAGACGGAAGAACCCTTTCAGATTATAATATTCAGAAAGAATCAACACTCCACCTGGTTCTCCGTCTTCGTGGAGGAATGCAAATTTTCGTCAAGACCTTGACTGGCAAGACCATCACATTGGAAGTCGAAGCTTCCGATACCATCGAAAATGTCAAGGCCAAGATTCAAGACAAAGAAGGCATTCCCCCAGACCAGCAGCGTCTCATCTTTGCTGGTAAACAGCTCGAAGATGGGAGAACTTTGTCAGATTACAACATCCAGAAGGAGTCCACCCTTCATCTGGTTCTCCGTCTGCGTGGTGGTATGCAGATTTTTGTCAAGACCTTGACTGGAAAGACAATTACCTTAGAGGTTGAAGCATCAGATACAATTGAAAACGTAAAAGCAAAAATTCAAGACAAAGAGGGCATTCCTCCAGACCAGCAACGTCTCATTTTCGCAGGAAAGCAACTGGAAGACGGAAGAACCCTTTCAGATTATAATATTCAGAAAGAATCAACACTCCACCTGGTTCTCCGTCTTCGTGGAGGAATGCAAATTTTCGTCAAGACTTTGACTGGCAAGACCATAACATTAGAAGTCGAAGCTTCCGATACCATCGAAAATGTCAAGGCCAAGATTCAAGACAAAGAAGGCATTCCCCCAGACCAGCAGCGTCTCATCTTTGCTGGTAAACAGCTCGAAGATGGAAGGACTTTGTCAGATTACAACATCCAGAAGGAGAGTACCCTTCATCTGGTTCTCCGTCTGCGTGGTGGTATGCAGATTTTTGTCAAGACCTTGACTGGAAAGACAATTACCTTAGAGGTTGAAGCATCAGATACAATTGAAAACGTAAAAGCAAAAATTCAAGACAAAGAGGGCATTCCTCCAGACCAGCAACGTCTCATTTTCGCAGGAAAGCAACTGGAAGACGGAAGAACCCTTTCAGATTATAATATTCAGAAAGAATCAACACTCCACCTGGTTCTCCGTCTTCGTGGAGGAATGCAAATTTTCGTCAAGACTTTGACTGGCAAGACCATAACATTAGAAGTCGAAGCTTCCGATACCATCGAAAATGTCAAGGCCAAGATTCAAGACAAAGAAGGCATTCCCCCAGACCAGCAGCGTCTCATCTTTGCTGGTAAACAGCTCGAAGATGGAAGGACTTTGTCAGATTACAACATCCAGAAGGAGAGTACCCTTCATCTGGTTCTCCGTCTGCGTGGTGGTATGCAGATTTTTGTCAAGACCTTGACTGGAAAGACAATTACCTTAGAGGTTGAAGCATCAGATACAATTGAAAACGTAAAAGCAAAAATTCAAGACAAAGAGGGCATTCCTCCAGACCAGCAACGTCTCATTTTCGCAGGAAAGCAACTGGAAGACGGAAGAACCCTTTCAGATTATAATATTCAGAAAGAATCAACACTCCACCTGGTTCTCCGTCTTCGTGGAGGAATGCAAATTTTCGTCAAGACTTTGACTGGCAAGACCATAACATTAGAAGTCGAAGCTTCCGATACCATCGAAAATGTCAAGGCCAAGATTCAAGACAAAGAAGGCATTCCCCCAGACCAGCAGCGTCTCATCTTTGCTGGTAAACAGCTCGAAGATGGAAGGACTTTGTCAGATTACAACATCCAGAAGGAGAGTACCCTTCATCTGGTTCTCCGTCTGCGTGGTGGTATGCAGATTTTTGTCAAGACCTTGACTGGAAAGACAATTACCTTAGAGGTTGAAGCATCAGATACAATTGAAAACGTAAAAGCAAAAATTCAAGACAAAGAGGGCATTCCTCCAGACCAGCAACGTCTCATTTTCGCAGGAAAGCAACTGGAAGACGGAAGAACCCTTTCAGATTATAATATTCAGAAAGAATCAACACTCCACCTGGTTCTCCGTCTTCGTGGAGGAATGCAAATTTTCGTCAAGACTTTGACTGGCAAGACCATAACATTAGAAGTCGAAGCTTCCGATACCATCGAAAATGTCAAGGCCAAGATTCAAGACAAAGAAGGCATTCCCCCAGACCAGCAGCGTCTCATCTTTGCTGGTAAACAGCTCGAAGATGGAAGGACTTTGTCAGATTACAACATCCAGAAGGAGAGTACCCTTCATCTGGTTCTCCGTCTGCGTGGTGGTATGCAGATTTTTGTCAAGACCTTGACTGGAAAGACAATTACCTTAGAGGTTGAAGCATCAGATACAATTGAAAACGTAAAAGCAAAAATTCAAGACAAAGAGGGCATTCCTCCAGACCAGCAACGTCTCATTTTCGCAGGAAAGCAACTGGAAGACGGAAGAACCCTTTCAGATTATAATATTCAGAAAGAATCAACACTCCACCTGGTTCTCCGTCTTCGTGGAGGAATGCAAATTTTCGTCAAGACTTTGACTGGCAAGACCATAACATTAGAAGTCGAAGCTTCCGATACCATCGAAAATGTCAAGGCCAAGATTCAAGACAAAGAAGGCATTCCCCCAGACCAGCAGCGTCTCATCTTTGCTGGTAAACAGCTCGAAGATGGAAGGACTTTGTCAGATTACAACATCCAGAAGGAGAGTACCCTTCATCTGGTTCTCCGTCTGCGTGGTGGTATGCAGATTTTTGTCAAGACCTTGACTGGAAAGACAATTACCTTAGAGGTTGAAGCATCAGATACAATTGAAAACGTAAAAGCAAAAATTCAAGACAAAGAGGGCATTCCTCCAGACCAGCAACGTCTCATTTTCGCAGGAAAGCAACTGGAAGACGGAAGAACCCTTTCAGATTATAATATTCAGAAAGAATCAACACTCCACCTGGTTCTCCGTCTTCGTGGAGGAATGCAAATTTTCGTCAAGACTTTGACTGGCAAGACCATAACATTAGAAGTCGAAGCTTCCGATACCATCGAAAATGTCAAGGCCAAGATTCAAGACAAAGAAGGCATTCCCCCAGACCAGCAGCGTCTCATCTTTGCTGGTAAACAGCTCGAAGATGGAAGGACTTTGTCAGATTACAACATCCAGAAGGAGAGTACCCTTCATCTGGTTCTCCGTCTGCGTGGTGGTATGCAGATTTTTGTCAAGACCTTGACTGGAAAGACAATTACCTTAGAGGTTGAAGCATCAGATACAATTGAAAACGTAAAAGCAAAAATTCAAGACAAAGAGGGCATTCCTCCAGACCAGCAACGTCTCATTTTCGCAGGAAAGCAACTGGAAGACGGAAGAACCCTTTCAGATTATAATATTCAGAAAGAATCAACACTCCACCTGGTTCTCCGTCTTCGTGGAGGAATGCAAATTTTCGTCAAGACTTTGACTGGCAAGACCATAACATTAGAAGTCGAAGCTTCCGATACCATCGAAAATGTCAAGGCCAAGATTCAAGACAAAGAAGGCATTCCCCCAGACCAGCAGCGTCTCATCTTTGCTGGTAAACAGCTCGAAGATGGAAGGACTTTGTCAGATTACAACATCCAGAAGGAGAGTACCCTTCATCTGGTTCTCCGTCTGCGTGGTGGTATGCAGATTTTTGTCAAGACCTTGACTGGAAAGACAATTACCTTAGAGGTTGAAGCATCAGATACAATTGAAAACGTAAAAGCAAAAATTCAAGACAAAGAGGGCATTCCTCCAGACCAGCAACGTCTCATTTTCGCAGGAAAGCAACTGGAAGACGGAAGAACCCTTTCAGATTATAATATTCAGAAAGAATCAACACTCCACCTGGTTCTCCGTCTTCGTGGAGGAATGCAAATTTTCGTCAAGACTTTGACTGGCAAGACCATAACATTAGAAGTCGAAGCTTCCGATACCATCGAAAATGTCAAGGCCAAGATTCAAGACAAAGAAGGCATTCCCCCAGACCAGCAGCGTCTCATCTTTGCTGGTAAACAGCTCGAAGATGGAAGGACTTTGTCAGATTACAACATCCAGAAGGAGAGTACCCTTCATCTGGTTCTCCGTCTGCGTGGTGGTATGCAGATTTTTGTCAAGACCTTGACTGGAAAGACAATTACCTTAGAGGTTGAAGCATCAGATACAATTGAAAACGTAAAAGCAAAAATTCAAGACAAAGAGGGCATTCCTCCAGACCAGCAACGTCTCATTTTCGCAGGAAAGCAACTGGAAGACGGAAGAACCCTTTCAGATTATAATATTCAGAAAGAATCAACACTCCACCTGGTTCTCCGTCTTCGTGGAGGAATGCAAATTTTCGTCAAGACTTTGACTGGCAAGACCATAACATTAGAAGTCGAAGCTTCCGATACCATCGAAAATGTCAAGGCCAAGATTCAAGACAAAGAAGGCATTCCCCCAGACCAGCAGCGTCTCATCTTTGCTGGTAAACAGCTCGAAGATGGAAGGACTTTGTCAGATTACAACATCCAGAAGGAGAGTACCCTTCATCTGGTTCTCCGTCTGCGTGGTGGTATGCAGATTTTTGTCAAGACCTTGACTGGAAAGACAATTACCTTAGAGGTTGAAGCATCAGATACAATTGAAAACGTAAAAGCAAAAATTCAAGACAAAGAGGGCATTCCTCCAGACCAGCAGCGTCTCATCTTTGCTGGCAAG